AAGCCCCTTTTTTTTTTTTTTTTTTTTTGTATGTGTGTGTATGTGTGGGCTATGGAAGAAGTGACTTTTGACCAAATTTCCTCCATGCCTTCGAAATCAATAACTCACCTCTACAATGCATGTCCCACAAGTTCCTCCTCCCCCACAATTTAGCAGAGGTCTGGACTGAAAATTCAAAACACATAAACCATATTTCAGCTATTCATTAGCTTAAATACTGCACTTTCAGTGTATCACTTTGAATAAATTGACAAGCAAAATTGATATAATGAACTAAAAAGACAAAATGGACACGAGCCAAATTATAGGAACAGTGGGTACAATTAATCATTTTTTTTTTCACTTTCAAAACAAAACAATTGAGCCTTTCTTCACTTTCAAAACTTGTTAATGTAGTTGCAGAATGTGAAAAGAGAGAGGGGGGCCTTACTTACATATGGTCCATACAATTCAATATTAGAATCCAACATAATGTCCCTAAGTTTCTGCCCACCACAAGCTACTCGAAAGTGCACATCTGGTGTTCCATTAGGAAGCAACACAGACTTCAAAAAACACAAAACTCATTAGCAAACTTCCATTGCACACCTACATAGCACATAAATTAATAGTTCCTCAAAAAAAGAAATTACATGTACATACTAGAATTAAAAATGCAACATATGAACTTACACTGACAAATGCAAAATTGACAGCAGGTGGTTCCTCAGGTGGTTCCATGCCTCCATTAATTCCTGAGAGATAGATCCAACGCATTTCAAATTCAACAACAATACATGCCTAGAAAAATTATTCGGAAAATTACTTAGAAAATGTGCGGAATACATCATTTTAGATGTAGTTCATGTTACACAAATTTAAATTTACATTATACTCCTTCACTTTTGGGATACCTTTCGAGGTAAAAATTATTGGGTTTTGATTCTTCTTGTTCTTCTTATGTCGATCTTTAAATTGAAAAACAATATTCAGCTTGAACCAAAACAGTTGCATAATAGCATTATGGGTAATCTATTGAAATCCAGGCTGGTTTATTAAAGAGAACAAAAACAAATGAGAAGAATATACACACAAATACAATATATATATATATATATATATATATAATTTTTAGTCATTTCCCCTTTTCAGTCAATCATAGATTCACAACAAGATCTAAATAGACCCTGAATCATCTAAATTTCCAATTCAAAGATCTTTAACTTCATTTCACCGTACTTAAAACTTGACGAATTTAGTTTTGCAGAGATCTTCAAATCTGATTTCATTGTAATTTGATGCTTAAGGCAATTATTTCATGAATGCCAGATTCCTTTCCATACTACCAAATTTCAATCCAATGAGTAATACTGTAATACTCCAAAAAAAAAAAAACAATACCAAACTTATACCAAACTTTGTAAATGCCTTATACTCACCTTGAAAATCCTCGCAGTGTGGCAGGGGTCTGGTTTCTCAAATGTGTGTAAGAGATCAGGAATTGATGTTTTGCAAACTGCAATTTGAAAATAAGCAAAAATTTCATTAAAAGAATCATATGATGCTCATCCCTTGTCTCTTGGTAATTAATTTTCATTTGTGTTCTTTCTTAGAATTTCAATGAACTTAATATCATAGGTCAAGCTGATTCTGGTACTATTTAGTAATTGAATTATATTTGTAACACATAATTTTCTTGTCCCGTTGTCTTATTATTGAAATGAAAAATAAGAAACAGATATGATAATTATAAATTTATAATAAGCGTCAGTTCCTGGACTAGGTACAACACTTGCAAATAAATCAGTAGCTGGAGAATCCATGCCACATGAACTCCCAAAGTTAGTTATAAACCATAGCTGCATCTGCATGTTATATAAGCATGTACATATCTAGCCTTGAAAGTAAAGACAAACATACCGCCAGATGCACTGTCCTGTGCTTCCGCTAAGAATTCCAGATATGAAGCCGGTAGACATCATCAGTTTATAGTGGTGAAATTAGCAAAGGGGGTTTATTAAGAAAACTCATCTAAGTTTTTTGTTACATATGATGAGCACCTTCGTTGTTTCCGTACTTTCAGTGATTCATTCAGATATTTTCTTATAGTCCTCTGCTTCATCCATCATTTGGTGGCATGATTGTGTTTGAATCTATTATTGATACATGAAGAAGAAAGAAATATCCATGAATTAGTTTATCAAGCCCTGATAACACTGTTTCTACATTTGTTGCAGGATTTCACAAATCGCTACACAGTTCCAAAGAGGTATTGCTATAAATCAGAGATATATCTGATATATGTATATATAAAACAACCATCGGGCCGAGAGAGAGAGAGAGAGAGACAGATTGAGAGAGAGAGTTTACCTGTGAGTAGATCGGCGGTGCGATGATCGGTGCGAATCGATGAGACGAGCAACGAGAGAGTAAGAGAGTGATCGGTGCAGAGATGAACGAGATCAGTGCAGAGATAAACGAGAGGGTGAGAGAGAGAGAGAGAGGCGACTGAGAGAGTGATGTGAGGGAGACGATTAGATTTAGGGTTTTTTTTTGTTCTAAAGAGATTGGGGATTTTGGGGGGCGGGAATGGAAAAAATAGGGGGGAACCGAGCAGGCGGGATGAAAAAATAAAATAAAATAAATAAAATAAATAAAATTAAATAAATAAATAAATAAATCATCATAAATAAATATTTAAATAATAAAAATAAATAAATAATAATTTTTATTTTCTTTCCGTTATTAAAGTTGATTTGTTTCATATATATTTTAATGAAAAATATTTTCACTAAAACAAAAGTTAATTTTCTGTAGTCAATGAAAAATATTTTTCTGCGGTCTATTTTTTTTATTACTAAAAATCATGAACTAATTTTTTGTAGTAAAGGAAAAGGAGCGGTAGCAGTAGTGAAGGTGGTGGATAAGAGATGATGGTGGTGGCGGCGGTGATGGTGATGGCGAAACAGATTAGTGGTGAAGTTGTGGTAGTGGTAGTGTAAATGGAGTGACAGGGGTGAAAGAGAGGTAATGGTAGTAGTAGTGGTAGTGGTGGTAGTGGAGTGGTGGCGATAGTAGTAGTAATGGTAGTCGTAGAGGTGAAGTGGCTACAGTAGAAGTAATGGTGGTGGTGGAATGGTGTTTGCAGTAGTGGTGAAGGTGATAGAGGAGATGGGTGGTGAGAGAGAGAAATGAGTGAGAGACAGATAGAGAAGAGAGAGAAAGACAGAGTGATGAGCGAGAGAGAGATAAAGAGAGAAAGAGATATAGAGAGAGATAGAGAGGCAGAGAGAGAAATCGATAGAGAGAGACATATAGAAAAATAGAGATAAACAAGAGATGAGAGAGACATATAGAAAGAGAGCGAAAAGAGATGAACGATAAAGAGAATAGAAAAATAGAGAGAAAAGAGATGAGCAAGAGAGAAAAAA